TAAATGATTTGATGTAGCTCGTGGGGTAGACAATGATTGGAAGTCTCTTGTTATCAAAATAATGTCGCGCGAAATGCAAGAGCTTGAAAAAGAATTCAAGGTAATTGAATGTCAATGTCGGCATCACGTTTGTATTATGAAATTACATATATTGATCATCTGACAGTTGCCCAGGTATTTGTCATAGGCGTTGCCAACGACGTGAACAAGTTACCAGCTACGTTCCGCAATCGAGAACTGTTTCAAAGTAATCTTACTGTCACTGCGCCAGCAAGGTAAAGGATTGACTATTTAGTTTAAATAAAATTAATTTGAATATCATATCCATTCAAGTATTCCGCTTACCCAAGACGTAGCCGAGAAGAGATATTGCGTATTCATCTTTCGAAGCTAAAATTCGGAGATCAGACAGAAGTAAATGACTTTGTTAAAAGATTATCTCAGGTAGTGCCAGTTTTTTGGGCAATTCATACATTACGTCACTTCAACTTACAGCATCTAACAGCGTACATCAGGCTTTGTTGGCCGCGACTTGATGCGATTGTGTCGTTCGGCCGCCTTGCACTCGTTAAGAAGATGTGAGAAGCAAAAGCAGAAGCAAGATTGTGATATTGCCGACCTACTTGCAAAATTGAGCATGTCTGAATCCTCTATTAGTGATTCCCGAGAACTGGTTTGGGAGGATTTTGAATATGCGTTAGGGATTGTCAAACCGTCTGAGAAGATTGTGTTTGAATCTAGTATTCCAACTAGACGATGGGACGAAATTGGAGGGTTGGTATTAAGTCAGCTTTAATTATGGACGGATGGCATTTATGACGCAATATAACATAATTCTTATGTTAAGATACGAAGCAGTAAAGCGCCGCGTCCATCAAATACTTGACTGGCCATTATCACATCCGGAAACATATGAAAAACTTGGCATCAAACCACCTGCAGGGTTATTGTTACATGGGCCTTCAGGTAAAAAATCTATAAATTTTGATGACCTATTTTATCTATAGCGCGTTCTCACGTATTATTAGGTTGTGGAAAGACAGTTCTCGTTCAGGCAGCCGCGACGACATTATCTGCGAATTCGATTACCATCAAAGGGTGATTAAAAACCTCCTTTGTCATTCTCAGGATTGCTTGTTTACTGATCGATGAGTTTATCTTAATAGGCCGGAATTATTTTCAAAATACCTGGGTGAAACTGAAGCTGCAATTAGACGGTTATTTGCTACGGCAAAACAAATTGCGCCTTGTCTGATTTTCTTTGACGAGATAGATTCTATTACGAGCAAACGCGGTAATATCGAAACTGTAGGAATTTTGAAATATAATATCGCTTGTAACAATTAGTTTTCATGTTCGTTCTTTTCATCGTAGAATGGGATAATGATGGAACAAGCGGAGTGAATGAACGCGTATTGAGCACCTTGCTTAATGAAATGGATGGAATTCAAGAACGAAAGGACGTATTGATTGTCGGATGCACTAATCGACCAGATCAAATTGATGATGCATTACTTCGACCTGGTAAGATATATAACTTGTTTCTTTATAGCCAAATCCTCATTCCTTGCCGAAATGCTCACGCTACAATTTTATTTAAAAGGACGACTGGATCAACTTCTTTACGTAGGCCTGCCCTCGTTGGATGATCGCGAGTCTATTATCCGCGTAATTTCGAGACATATTCCACTAGATGTTGACGTGGATATTAAAAGTTTGGCTGCTAGGACCGATGCCTTTACAGGCGCTGAACTGGAGCTATTATTTCGAGAGTCGTCAATACTTGCATTGAGGGAAGATATTGGAATACAACAAGTTTCGTATAAACATGTCGAACCGGTATTACTTAGGATGAAGAAAACAGTTATGGAAAGGAACTCAACCGACGAGCGTACATTGGATTTATCGGTCGCAAGACAATAAAAATCATGTACTGTACATTATTTATTGACATTTCGAAAGAATGTAATTAATAAGTCAAGGATCGTCGATGCCACGGTTTATCGCCGACTATTGGCTGAAGTGATAAATAAGGTTATGTACGTGCGTTGGAGTACAAACCGCTACATCTCTTTCATCATGTTCGATTTACCTTCACTAAACGAAAAAGACTTGATGCCAGATGAAGAAATTTTGCGAGCTGATGTATACGTTAGTCAACTGATGATGTGAACGATTCTACTAAATTAAAATATGACAGTTTCAGTATTTAACCAGGCATATCATGTGATTATTACATCAGGAGCATTTATCCTAAACGCGTGTTACAAAAAGGGGCATTTAATGAAATGACATTCTCAAGGGGTGGATCGACAAACTTATTTTCGGTGGCATGTAAACGCTATTTATAGACACTCTCTTGATTGAATCTTTCCAATTCTGATATACCATCACATTCCTCTTTAGGCCATTGGCATAAGGAGCCCCAGTCACTTTCCAACATTCTTTTTAACACCCCTTGACATTAATTCTACACATCTTCATACCTTTCTCTTTTTCTCTCTCCACGGTCCAAAGATCATATCAATTATAATGTCTACTAAGCGACCGCCAGCAGTTCCGCCCAAACCAGCACGACTTTCTATGGGAGCGCGTAAATCAACCTCGCCCGTCACCACGCCTCGATCTCCACTTACAGAACAACCACTTTACGAGTCACCTCCGTCCTCACCCTCACCGAAAACTCCAAGCACCGGGGAGAGCACTCCTGTAGGAACTGTGTCATTTTCCATACCTGTTGGAAGACAGGCAAGGGCTTTGTATGACTTTGAAGGAGAGCCTGAATTTAGAGAGTTATCATTTTGTGCCGGAGATGTGTTGAATGTCTTGAGGGAGCAATTGGCCGAAGGATGGTCTATGGCCGAAAAAGACGGGATTACTGGATTAGTTCCCGATTCATACATTACGGTATATATGGTCGTTTACAAGAATCTACTTTGTTTAGGATGATTCAGACTCATAACTTTTCTTAATCCTTATGTCTAGTATATTAACGAATTTAACGAGGTTCCTCCGTCGACTCTCGCAGCAATGCGTTATCAAGTTGGTGGCATGTCCCACGGTCAATCCCAAATTCACATGAATGGAAGCATACGCTATAATACTATCATTGGTAGGCGTCAACTCAATCGATTCAGTTGGTTTGTTACAACTGGTGTCGAGGAGTATCTGTTGGACGATGGTAATGGTCAAAAAATACCTCAAGCAAAGACATCCAGTGATGAAGAAATCGAAGAAGTTTCCGAGTCCGATAAGCATTATGTCCAGGTATTGTTCGATAAATAATTGAATTCGTTTGCTTGATTTCAAACACTCAAGCATGAAATGCTCGTTTTTCTTAGAGTGGGCCAAGCTGGCTGGAAAAAGCTCCTATTTTTAAAGTTCTTGTGCATAGCCCCGAGAGAAGAGTAAAGCTTGGTGGCATGTCAGAATATACCATATTTCACGTGACTTCGTTGGTATGTATCTAATTATTTCAAATTTGCTTCCATCAAGAAGACTAACGATTTTAAACCAAAAAATTTTTTTTTAGTTTCCTGGAGGTATTCAAATTAGTGTAGAGAGAAGATTTAGTCAATTTGAATGGCTTCACAATATGCTGTGTGCGAAATTTGGAGCGTTGGTCTTGCCTCCTCTTCCCGAGAAACAGTTTGCTGGTATGGGCTTTTTACGATTTTTAGATAATCAAAAATGAATCAGTATAAAATTATATCGCCTTGCTGTAGGTCGGTTTAATGAAGAGTTTATCCAGAGGCGTCGTCGAGCTCTCGAAAGATTTATTAATCGCCTGGCACGTCACCCAGTCATCCGATATTCAGATTTGTTGACTCACTTCTTAAGCTGTCAGAGTGATTCCGTATGTTCTCTCCAAGTTGAATACTTTCTCATGCATATACCGTAAAAGTTAATAACAACTATTTCACAACAGGAATGGCGTAAACGAGAAAAAGAATTCGAACAGGACAAAATACTTGGATACAAATTCTTCCAACACGTCTACCATCCCGAATTCAATGTTGATGATGGGGATCTGGAAACTGTTGAAAAATTCGAAGCGTTTGCTCGGTCTATGGAGAAATTAATGCCTTGGGTTAATGAGGCCTCGCAAGCACATAAAGATTCCATGGCAGAGTGTCAACGACAGTATCGTAGAGTAAGTTATTCACTATTGCGTTTGATTACTGGACACAATGTTGGAGACGGGCTTGCAAGTAACAATGAAGACGGTGCCTGGTGTTGGAGGGATGGTTGTCAAGGTAAATTTTCTAAACAAATGTCTAAGATTGAACGAATTGTTATTAATCATAAAACACTTTAATACAATATTTATATTTGATCGACTATATGCAACAATTGTTATCTAGCGTGTCTGAATCTTACTAAAGCAATGCAGTCAGTTAGTGAGAGCTTGCAGTCAGTGGCTGATCTGTACGAGTCTTATGTTAGTATCTCCGATTACCGCAAGAATGTTGTATTATTTAAAATTAGTATTAATGTGGTCTTCTTTATTCTCCCAGATTAATGACAATTGTGTTCCATGGTGTGAGAATCTCAGAGATTATAGTAATCCGATGAACACGTGTCTGGTATGTTTACCTCTCTTCGAAAATGCATGTTTGATTTCCAAGTTTACTAATTTTTGTTCACCGTTAGCCAATAATTGACATGCATATGGGCACATACAAAAGATACAAGGACATAGCAGATGCTAGTGACCCAATGGCCGAAGACGAGGTAAGGGAAATAAGATGTGGACCTAGGTTGCATTTAGAAGCTTAAACATCGAATTTTCTTCCCAACAATTTATTTGCCAGAACGTGGACTTGGAAACTATTAATTCTCGATGTGATACAGTATTTAATGTCACCCTCGCGGAAATTGACCGTATTCATGACGAACGTGTTTGGGACTTCAAAGAAGGTACAAAACAGTACCTGGATGGACAAATCGAATTCTACGAAAAGGTAATTCTATAGTTTCTTGATAATTTGTTGGTTAGTTCTATTCTTAATCGCCATCCCAACTTGCCTTTAAAAGATTCTCGAAGAACTCCGCCAAGCCCGTGCGACATTCGACGATCCACATTATTCATCACTGTCACAAACCCCACGCGAGACTAGCAAATATGAAGCAATGATTGATAGCCAGCGCCCGGCGTTATCTCGGCCAGTGTCAATGGCCTCAGTTTCCTCAATGACTACTATGATGGGTGGAGTTGTTGATGGAGTAGGAAGCATGGGAAGTTTTCTGAAAAGAACGGCCCGAAGTTCTATAGCAAAAACCACCATGTTTGAGGGATGGTGGGGACGGAGCTGAAAATATTGTACATATAATTATGGAATCGAACACAAACAATCAGGAAACAATCTCCAGATAAATCTTCGTTATTGTAGATTTTGTATATTTGAACTATTAGTGTACATTCGCATTTAACGTTACATCATATTTATATTTATACTTGTATTTATGTTTACACTGTGCATTCGGGCAAAGTTCATGACAATCTTGTATAATGTAATAAAATGTGTCTTCCTTGGGGTTGTCAAAGAAATTGACCCAACATTATAAACACATTATTTGAGTTAATGTCACAAACCAGTCTGCACACTACATATATCCAAGACGCAATAGGCTCTAGACAAGAATGAAATCCTGCTGCACTGAAATCGTTTATGGGAACGCCTACTCTGATTTTATTTTAAACAGGAAGTTGGGGTTATACGAAGAATGTAAGATTGCATGTGTTTACAGCTAGTTTACGTAAGAATAAAGGGGAAAAGAGATATATTATATAAACATCGAGAAAAGTTAGAAACAATCTTCAAGTGCTTACGAGCTCGAGACCGATTTATTATCAAACTGACCAAACCTTAAATTAAACATTCAACGTAAGGCGAAACCTCTTATTATTATAACGAATCGGTATAAGAGAAACCAGTATAGAACAATATCCTCACAATCATATTAAAGAACCGTTCCTGAAAATTTGGGCCGTTATAGCAAAAGCCGGTATAGCCGGCGGCGGTTTAAAGAGTTTTAACTGGATTTCGATTAGTTCAAAAATAAATCATTAGCTTTGGTATTGGTACGACACATTAATTTCACAGATGCAGCGTTAAAATAAACTTTGCATGAAATATTGTAAGTGTGACAAATCTTGCATTAGGAGATTCGGAAAAGAAAAAGATATTTAACCTGTCGTATCAATCTTTTTCCATCCACAATCGTTAAAATGAACCGAATTGTATATTTGATATTTTTGCTTATTTTTATGTTTGGTGCCTTTGTTCGCTCTCATTTTCTTAAAAACGTTCCCGGCATTGCGGTAATCAAACCAGGTATAAAAATCCTTTCCTTATATAGAGACATTTACCTGGAATGACTAACGATAATTAAATATTTATTTTTTAAACCGGTCACTTTTCGCTAAATTTTCTCATCTTAAATAATTGAAACCAATACTAAATATTAATACTTGTTAAAAGCAAGGGGAGACCGTTTTCGAGCTGGTCGGCACATTGTCATTAAGTTTTGCCCCGATCGCAATATCACTTCAATCGAAAGTATCGATCTCGTACTCGATGCAGTAATTTTCTCCCAGACGTTTGCAACAAATGTTAGATTAAGGCCACGTGAGTAACATTACAATTACTACTATTATTGTCATTAGCATTAATTATAAATAATAGCTAATTTTTTATTTAATTTTCTGAAAATTAACAGCAAAAAAGTGTTACAAGTTCAAATTCACTCTCAATAGAACGCTTGCCCCCGACTCTCGTTATCGCGTTCTCTTCAGCCGCAATGGTCAATTTGTGGCTAGTTCAGGGTCTTTTTTTATCGATAATCCTAAATCCGGGCTAATTATTACAAAACCAGACGCGGATGATAAGTTTCATGTGCGAGAAATTTTAAACTAAGTT